GTTCACATCCACTCTGTGATCATCCTGCGCCGCTCGGATAAGAGAAAAGACCGCGTGGAGATTTCACCAGAGCAGCTTTCAGCTGCCTCTACTGAGGCAGAGATATCCTTTTGTAGAGACAGCAGCAGACTGGCCAGTGGTTACATCATTTGACGTGCTGTGACTTGTTCCAGTTGCTGCTTCCCTCCTGCAACTGTTCACTTTGAAGGGTTATGCTGGCAGCTGCCATTCTCCGGAGTCGTTCTTGGTCCCAGTGTTTGCAGTGTAGTCGTGTTAGAACTAGGTTTTATCATATCTATGTTTGGACGCAAGTAAAACTGAAGTATGTTTTCGGGGAGGGTAGCTGTTCAGGAGGAGACTCAGTAGATAATGGAATGTTGACAAGTCGGTTTCCAAGCACGGTGAAAATTGCCCGACATCCATTCAAGGATGCTGTTTTGGACAGGTTGCTGCTATGTTACTTACTGCCACGTGCCAACCACATCCAGTTTGCTCCTGCAGCAGTGGCATCCTGCCAGTGCTGGGGAAGAAGCTTCCATCAGCTTCCTGCTGCTTGTCTTGTCACCCCTCTCTAAAGGCACCTAGAGTTCTGTTGGCTGATGATAAGCTCTTTTAAAACTCTGCTGTTTTCCCTTGTGCTAAAAAACTTCTTCCATTTGCTCTACTGGTTTCAAGAGCACCTTGACTCACACACAGGTTGGCTGAAATGACAGGACGTCCCATGAGAGTTGTGGGCTGGTATCACTCTCATCCTCATATTACTGTCTGGCCGTCACATGTTGGTGAGAGCACTCTTGTTCTAGGTCCTGTATGAAAACCCACAGCAATAACTAATAGTATTGCTCAATTTACTGCTTTTTTGCCAGCTCTTCACATCCTAACTATCAAAGTTTGGTTTCTCAAACATCCTCTAGTAGGACAAGGGTGGGCTTCAGGGACCTCTGCCAGTACAGCCCCATTCCTGCCTGTGTCCTCCAGGCAGGAGTACTCAGTCACAGAGCAGCTATACTGGTACTACTGGTTTTCCAGACCTAGGGTGTGGGGAATAGCAAAAAAGGCTGTGGGAATCACAGCCCTGCTGTGATCATTTTTGACATCTCTGAGTGTTAATGCAGAAAAGATTTACTCTTAATTACATTTTAAATTAGATCAATTTATTATTTTTTTTACTCACCTGGAGTAAGTACTTTACAATAAAGCTCATGACATTTGTAACAAAATTCCAGGTCACCCTTCAAACACTGGCAAGTCTTTTTCCAGTCTTTCAGGTGAGCAGTGCAGGTTTCATGCTCTTATTTCTTTGTCTGCAGATGTCCGCACACAAGCAATGTATCAGATGATGGACCAAGGTTTTGTAGGGCTCATCTTTTCCTGCTTCATTGAGGACAAAAACACAAAGGTAGGCAACTTAAAAATGACAGTAAACCCTCCAGGTACTCCTGAGAAACATCAGCCCCAGGGCAGAGCTGAAATCCCTGCATGCAGCCTGCAAGAAGGACAGAGCTCTGCTTGGAGCACGGACAGAGCATGGCTTTGGATGGTGATGCTTGGATCATAATCCCAAGGACAAAAGAGAGGGGTGTTAGAGAGTTATTAATTACTCGCTGCTGATCCAGAGCAAAGCTGGGCTGGCACCAGGGCTCTGGGACTGCATCACATGGCTGCAGTGTGTGTGTGTCCTGAAATGTGTGGATGCCCTTCAGCTGTTCAGTCCAGCAGATGCAGCTTATTGCAGCTCTGGCCTCCTTAGGAGATGCTGCTCTAGTGTGAGATAAGCTCACAGTGGTGTGTCTTGTCACAGTTTTCCAGGGAGCTGTTATTTAAGATTTTCTTCATAGTTAATGGGTCTGTCAGTAACCAGTTCCAGCACAGCAAACTGAAAAGCATGTCCCTTTGCAACCTGTTAAAATGGTATTTGAAAGCATTTTCTGCTTCCTAAAAGGATTGTGTGGTTTTAGATGATTCTTTTTGCTCTTGGAACCTGACTTCCTGCCATCTCTCTTAGACAGGCAGGATTCTCTACACCTGTTTCCAGTCCATTCAGGCCCAGAAGAGCTCAGAGTGAGTACAGCAGAAGAATATGATGTCCAGCATCAGTTTGTATTTCATCTCATCTCTCCTTTCTTGCTTGTCTCAAATGGCTCCTAGGCCTATCACAAGGAGCAAATACTGTATAGAGATGCCTGAACTCCTTACTTCTCCTTACTTCTGCTGCTGCAGGCTGAAGAGAGTCTAAAAATTAGACCTGATTAATTTAGCTTAGATAATTTAGTACTTTAAGATTTGTGTAGGACACTGTAGTCTGGGTACGAATTTGTGCTGTAATCCGTTATGTAGAAGATCCACCTTTTTACTTTTAACTCTAGAGGTCGCAGCTTCAAGCTCGTGTGGCAGTGAGTCCCTGCCAACCTCACACATGCTGTGTGCATCATACTGTCAGTACTGGCTATCTAGTTGCTTTAGCATTTCATCATTACAGTTTTAAGGCAAATGTGTGGCTATAAAATGTTTCTGTTTGCCTCAGGCACCCGTTTCCAAAGTAAACATGCAGCAGTGCCATGCGTTGGACAAACTGTTGCGGGTTCGTAGAAGAACTTTGAAGTTAATTGTGTCCTGATGCCCTTTTAGATATGAAAGGATCGAAATTCCTATTCATGTTGTCCCCCATGAAACCATTGGGAAAGTGTGTCTGGAATCAGCTGTAGAGCTGCCCAAGATCCTTTGCCAAGAAGAGCAAGATGCCTACAGAAGAATTCACAGGTAATGACACTGGGGCTGCACCCCTCTCCAAAACTGTCTTTGCTAACACATACAACTCTTGCTGTACTTCAGAGCACCATAACCTTAGCAGGGTTGTAGAAAATAAGAAGTATTAGCAGCTCATGTGCCTTTATAGGAGAACTGGTTGAATACCTTCACATTAAGGAGTTCAAGTTCTCAACCTTGCACACAAGAGCTAAGTGTAACTGCTCCTTTGCTGTGACAAAAAAGAGAGAAAGCATGTGTGACCTAATGTGGGCACTTCAGTGAGGTGTCTCTGTGTGTGATAGTGTTTAACCAGGGTGAGAGCTGAGAAGAAGTCTGAAAAATGAGATTAAATATCAGCTTCTTTTTTTCTGCCTTTGGTGCTCAGCACTGATGTTTCTGTGCTGCAAGCTCTTTTGTTACCCTTGTGAATATATTTCCACAAGTGAAGGGGTTTAGATGTACCTTCAGTGTCAGAGACTTGTGGATAGTTGGTTCTACAGCCTGGGTTTGCCTAATAGGCAATCCACTGCTCTTGTCACTAACCTCATTCTGTTCATTCTCTCAGCCTCACCCATCTAGACTCCGTAACCAAGATTCATAATGGCTCAGGTAAGGATTCCTTTTTTGCATGCAAGAATCCAGGATACTGCTCCCAGAGTCAAAACAGCAGAGTCTTGAGCAGGGGTTGGTTTGGCTTTAACTTTGGGGGTCAGTAAACCAGAGCTGTGTAACAGTCCCCCCCACTTTGCCATAAAAGGCACTTGTAAACTATCAAAGCACAAACTTTTGTCTTTTTCTTTGCCATCCAGTTTATTTCCAGTCACAAGCACTGTGAAACACAGAGAATCCCCTGAGAGTGTTGCCTTGTTACATAGTCTAGTGGAGGAACAGAATTGTAACAAACCACTTTACAGGAAAACATCAAGGGCTGGAGAATAACCTAATCCTGAGCTTTATGAAAGCTGTTGTGTCCTTTAACCTTTATACAATTGGTTAAAATTACACTAGACTTTTGGTTTGTTTGGGGAGTTTTGGGTTGGTTGGGTTGGGTTTTGGTGGTTTGGGTTTTTTCTGTTAGAACAGCAAGGGGCTTTTGGGTTTGGTGAGTGTCAAAGTAGCATCTGGCTGATCTGTATGTATGACTGCATCTCCTGGCATTTCTCTGTGCTACATGCATATGACATCTTCACTTTTGCCAGTGAGATAAGGCGAATCCTAATTCCCACTTCTATTCCAAGTTAAATACCCCGTTGTCCATTTTCACCTGTTCAATGACTGAGACATTCTTTGCTTCTGGATTTAGCAATTAATTAGCATCAATGATGATAAATATGCAGATTTCCAGATTTCTGTCTAAAGGTCACATTGAAATAGCTGGTTTCTCTGTTTAGCAAGCTGCTGATTCTGACTTTCCTGTGGGGATGTCTGGTTGCCTTGGCCAGGATGTTGGAGGGTTTCCTTGGCTGTCTCTAATGCTCTTGGCTTTGGGGTTGTTGCCGCGTTCTGTTTGCACTGGCATGATACATTCTTGCTCTTTCCAGTGTTCACAAAGAACCTCTGCAGCCAGATGTCAGCCATCAGTGGGCCTCTCCTTCAGTGGCTGGAGGACAGACTAGAGCAGAACAAACAGCGGGTGCAGGAGCTGCAGCAGGAGAAAGAGCAGCTCCTGGAGGAACTCGCTGCTTTAGAATGAAAGAGGAAATGCAGACCCTTCAGAAAAGAGACATGAGAGGAACTCTACAAGACCTGGCTGAAGGGTGGCCCGACATTGCCTTACAGTGAAGATGCTACCAATGCCTCTTGCCCCGGGCAGCAAAGAGCACTTCTGCAGGATAAGGGCTTATCTGCCCCACCTTGATGGAAAGCAGTGGTATCTCTCCAGGTGATGTATGATGCAGTGCAATCACAGCTCAGTGGTGGGGTTGGGCAGCACCTGAAGAGACTTCAGTTCTGGAGGGCACGCATCTAGAGAGCATGCTGTTTCTCCCTCGCCTGTATTTTGACAGAAGTCTTATTGCTTTACATGTATTCCAGGAGCCTAGAACAGGAGGGTTAGACAGGAACAGTGTGTCCCTGCAGTCATATCTGATGCTGCCAACTTCTGCCTTCTTTTTAGTAGCTTCAGTTGACTGTCATCTAGTAACAGATTACTGGTTATCCACCCAGACAGGTAGGAGGTGGGAGGGAAGCTTGGGAAGAAACCTGGAAGAACTTTGACAGTAGTATCTGTGTTCAGCATACTTGAAACCAAATAAAGAATTCCAAAGCCAGAGCTTTTTGGAGTAGAAATGAAGTGGATGCTACAAAGAGCCAATGCCTGCATTTTCTGGACACAGTCTGTATTCTCTCACTTGACGTAATGCTGTTGATCCTCAGCACTGAGGTTATCTGCAAAATGGACTGTTTCTGCTGGCTCAGTGGGAGGAGTGTGGTTCCTTCCAGAGAGAAAGAAGAGAACCGATAGCTGTGCAAGCCTGTCATTCTTACACACTAAACTTAAGTGCAGAAATTTTGTTAGACTGAAGTAGAACAAAGTACCTGTTGCTGAAGTAAGCCTTCAGGTGTTCTTGCTGTAGCATTTCAGAGTATCCCCCATCACATACATAGTCATCTGCATTCTGTTACGTGAGGTCTGTCTCATGTGAATGAAGGAGCCCACAGCACAGTTAAAACTTCTGTTTCAGGTCCTTGGTTTTAATCTAATCCTTGCTCAAGTAGATGGAAATGAGCTGGCTGCGTGAGTGCAGTGGAGGTTGTGACACTGCTGGCAACTCATGAGCTTGACTGTTGTGTTGGGAGAATGAAACATGGGAGAAAGAGGCATTCCCTTTCCAGGGAACAGGCAGTATTGATTAGCAACGGCAAATTGCTGTCAGACCTGGAAGCCCCTCGGCCAGCTTGAGTTTGTGAGACTTCACATTTCAATATTTCTACATTGATACTGGCAAACCCTCAAACAGCAGAAATTCTTCCAAGTAAAATGCTCACTTTTTTTTATTAAAAGTGAATAGTATTTTTCATCAGTTAAACTCTCTTTATCTCAACCTACAAGTTTTCTCACTTTTATCCTTATGGTTCTTGCCCCCATCCTGCTGGGCTGAGGGGGCTGAGCAACTGGCTGCATGGGACTTAGCTACCAACCAGGGTTAACCCACAACAAGCCCCTGTATAGCTGCCCATCTCTGCAGTGGGTTATTGGCAGAAATGCTGTATTTCAACTTCCGACTGCAAACCAGGATCTTCTGTGTCAAGTTGCAGAATTACAATCTAACTTACAATGCTGTTTTGACATGAATTCGAAGCAAGGATATAGTGGTGTAACTATGCAGTGTTGAATGCCAGTAACTGATAGACCAGAGCAGTTGTGCTGCATCTTTATGACATGCATTTCTTTCTCACATCACCAGTTTTGGTAAAATAAACTAATAGAGAATTCCAGAATTTGTGTACTTGAATAGGCAGTAATCAAGATGAATGTGCCTGAATTCTATTTGGCTTTTATCTTCTTATGTCTTGAATGCATGCTTTTCTTTCACTCTAGACCACTAGAGCAGGTTGCTCCAAGCCCCTGTGTCCAACCTGTCCTTGAACACTGACAGGGATGGGGCAGCCACAGCTTCTCTGGGCACCCTGTGCCAGCACCTCAGCACCCTCACAGGGAAGAACTTTTTCCTAATACCTGAATCTTCCCCTCTTTCAGCTTAAATCCATTCCCCTTGTCCTGTCCCTACAGGCCCTTGTCAGAAGCTCCTCTCCAGCTTTCTTCTAGCCCCTTTGGGCACTGGAGCTGCTCTAACG